CAACCCCATCCTCACCCCCAAATTCTGGCTCTCTCCATCCCCAACCCCCTCTCTCTTCTTCCCAGGCTCCTTTGCCCACTCAGAAGCTAGTCATCCTTCCATTTCATCCTTTCAGATCCCATCTCCCTCAAAGAGCCAGGAAGAGTCCAGCTCTCTGAGCTCTTCCATCCTTACCTGGAGCAGCCAGTAGCAGCGCCGATGGAATGTGGGGACGATGGAAGAGTGAACGTAGCAGCCATAGAGACACTGCCAGGAGACAGGCTGGGGTGGGGGGAGGGCTAGTCTGCTCCCCAACTCTTCCTCTGTTCAGTCCCTTTGCAGGAATCCCAATCTTTCCACCAGTTCCTCTTCAACCCTCACCCACCCCCACCTATTCCCCACATCTTTCATAATTTTATTTATTTATTTTCCCCCAAAGCCCCAGTAGATAGTTGTATGTCATAGCTGCACATCCTTCTAGTTGCTGTATGTGGGATGCGGCCTCAGCATGGCCGGAGAAGCGGTGTGCCGGCGCGCGCCCGGCATCCAAACCTGGGCCGCCAGCAGCAGAGCGCGCGCACCCAACCGCTAAGCCACGGGGCCGGCCCCGACCCCACACCTTTCAAATCCCAGCACCCCAAGACATAGGTGAGGAATAGAGAGAAGGGAACAGTGGAGCCAGGGGCTTACAGTGAGGAGCAGAATTGAGATACGGGACCATCTAGAAGTCAGAGGGCAGGGCAAGAATGTATCCAAGATGAGGAGCAATGATATGGGGAAGAGAAACCTGTCCCTAGAGGTTCAGTACTTGGACCCCTGAGGGAAATGCAAGAGACAAGAGGGGACTAGGCATTGATGTCCTCCAGGGGGAGGCATGGCCTAAGTCCTGGAGAGTTGGATCATGGAGGGAAACGGGAAGCAGAGAGTGGGCTAAGCAACCAGCTTGCTGATCCAAAGTGAGTGAGAAAGAAAGGGTGACTGGCAGGCAGATGATATCCAGCCCTAACAGGGCTGGAACCCAGCTAAGAGTGGAGGAGGGCAGGGACGGGCAGATGAGTGGGATGCCTCGCTTACCTCCATGCCCTGGACCTTCAGCTTCATGTGGTCCTCTCGGGTGGTCTTCCCATCTTTCCGCTTCTTCCAGAGGTAACCATCCTTCCGGTATTTCACCTTCTTGCGGTTGTAGAGGATAATGGAGCCATTCTGAGGCCTGAGGAGGGAAGGGTTGGCCTCGAGTTCTGTGGACAGAACCCAAGACCCTTGCCACTCCCCACTTTCACAAACTTTCTCACCTTGTCTTTGGAGCACAGGATAGCCACTCGTCGTGCTTCTCAAAGGTGATTAAGTACGACGCAATCTCCTGTAGGAGGGAAGGCACTCAGGTGGGCGTCCCCTTCATAGAGGCTCAGCCTAGCCTCTCGGTCATCCCTAGTCTCACTCTCTGCTGAGTTCTGGCAGCTAAGGGAGGATGCTACCAGGTATTAGGACCAGCAAGGCCCACTGACATCCTAGGAATCCCAGGTTCCATCTCAGACAAAAGTCTAACCTCTCCTTCCCTTCCTCCCAACTGGGGCCTTTATTTTGGGGCCAGGTCCAAGCTCTTCATCATCCATTCTTCATGCTGCATATTTTACTTATTTTTTATTTGTTTATTTATTTATTTATTGAGGAAGATTGGCCCTAAGCTAACATCTGTTGCCAATATTCCTCTTTTTCTTTTTTTCTCCCCAAAGCCCCAGTACATAGTTGTATATCCTAGTTGTAGGTCTTTCTAGCTCTTCTATGTGGGACGCCGCCTCAGCATGGCTTGATAAGGGGTGAGTAGGTCCGCGCCCAGGATCTGAACCAGTGAACCCTGGGCCACCGAAGCAGAGCATGTGAACTTAACCTCTTTACCACCGGGATGGCCCCAGTGCTGCATATTATTTTACTCTCTCCAAATCCCATTTTTGTGCCACTTCCTGACTCAAAAAACTTCAATGGTTTGACATTGTCAGGAATTCCAGATTCCTCAGCCTGACTCCAAGGTTCTCCCAGACCAGGGATCAAACCATCATTCCCACTATTTACCCATATTGCACCTACCATTCCTACCAGATCAGTCCATTAATTCTTCCCAGAACATGCCCTGTGCAGTCACCTCCTGAATGTTAGTGCCCTACAAGCCTGAGGTGCCATGTGCACATCTCTCCGCATCTGGAAATCCTAGCCATCCTAGTGACCAAATCCCTTCCCAGGTCTCCATGAAGCCCTGCTGACCACCCTGGCCCTTCCTGCATTTACAACAATAACCCCACATACATACCCTTTTACTGACGGTTCTCTTCTAATCAATAATCAAATCAATAATGACTGACTACCAAATACATACAAAGCACTGTGTGTGGGGAGCACAGAAGGTGTGTAACGCAAAGACCATGCCCTCCAGAAGGAGCCAGCATCAGTGGTGGTTAAAAGCAGGGGCTCTGGAGTTAGATAAACTACATGAGGTAAGTCAGTTTCCTCATCTATACCACAGGGATAATAACAGTGCCTGCTCTACAGTCATTACAGGACTGAATGAAATAACGTAGGTCAAGTGCTTAGCACAGTGCTCGGTTTGTAAGAAATACTTTGTAGGTGGTAGCTATTATTTTTACCTGGGGGGATATGACAAGAAGTGAGCGCCTAAGAGAGGCCGGTCTTTATACCTCTCCTATGATCCCCAAAGAGACTAGAAGAGCACTCTGCACTTAGGAGTGTCGACAGACACAGGAAGACCCCCAGTCACCCTCCTCCAGCCCACCAGGCCTTGCTAGGCCCTAATCCTCCAGGCTCCCTGGAAAACCTCATTTGTATTCCACCGTAGCCGCTCTGGAGGCAGCAGCGGACAGCGAGGAAGACACTCCAGCAGCTTCTTGGGGAGAAAGATCTTCAGGTGATGGCTGTTCTCTAGAGGGAATCAGAAGGGAGAGCTTAGGGTGCTGCTCCTGACATCCCTGCCATAGCCCAGGGGAAAAGAGCTGAATCTAGAGCACTGGGGGAAAGTGAAACGACGACAAGAGAGCAGGGACCCAAGAATTAGAGGGTCACCACAGCATGGGCAGAAAAAAAGGCTGCGCCCAAATGGGGAACCTGGATTGTGAACTCACCAGCAACCTCGGTGGTGTCCTTGGTATTCATGGTGAGGGCTCCAGGGGGCAAGGTCACCCCCGGCCTGAGGGGCCGGGGGGAGGGGGAGTCTGTGCTGGGAAGGGAGAGAACAAGGTCATGGCAGAAGCCCCCACACTTATGCGGGATGAGGAGGATGAGGTGGGAGAGGGGGTGCAGAACTGGGTCATGAGGTCTGGGAAAAATGAGGAAGTGAGAAGAAGGGGTTGGACTATGATGTGAGAGCCAGTGGCAGGGAATGGAGGAGAGGGAGAACCCAGACACGGTGCCAGAAATCAACATGAGTGGGGAAACACGACAGAACAGAGCAATCAGGAAGAGACTGGGGGGTGGGGGAGGGGAGAAGGCTCGCAGGGCTGGCGCTTCAGAGCCTTACAGTGTGGACTCAGGCGGAGGCCGGAGCTAGGAGGCTGGGGCTACAGTGGGGTTAGGTCCTGGGGCACCCGGTTCTTGGAAGATGGTTTGGCAAATGAGAGCCCGGGTGCTGAGGGGAGGGCAGATCTAAGTCCGGGTGGAGAACTAGGCCTTAGAAGACACACCCTGAGTTCCTTCTCTGTGTGATTTTTCCAAGGGGAAGGGCAGATCAGATAACTGATCCTAACCTACTCCCTCTTCTCCAGGTTGATCAGGGCCTGGTGGAATCTGGGCTAGACATCCAGGACCCAGCTTCCCATCCTCAGGACAACCCATCCTCCACCCTGAGGCTGACAGCCCTCTCCACTCCTTACCGTCCCCCCACCCCCACCCCAAACGTCTCTGCTTCCCCTGGCCTCCAGGCCTACCCTACCCCATCTACCACTCTGGCTCCAGCCTGAGCCCCCACCCTCCTGGGGAAACAGATGGAAGCTGGAGGAGGCTCCGGGCTCGGGCTCCGCCAGGTGTCCGGGGATGAAGAGGGGGAGGAGACCAGTCCGAGCTCCGCTGTGTGCAGTGAAGCCTGGGTTGGGGTAAGGACTCCGCCCAGGGCGCAGGTGCGCAGTCCAGGCTGGGCAGCCTGCCAGGGTGCGGAGCGGTGCCGGGGGCGGCCCCCCACGGCGGGGCGGTGGTCCCCGGAGAAGCTCCGAGGTGGGAGGGTCCCACCTCCCGCCCGCACGAAGGGATGTTCTGAGGAAGCTCTGGAGCGAAGTTCGCGGACCCGCGGCGGGCGCGGGGCAGAGCGGATGCCGGGGTGCGGGGATCCCCGAGACGGTCCCGGCACGGCAAGTCTGCCGTGGGGCCCTGCGCCGAGCGGCGCCCCCTGGCGCGGGGGAGGAGGACGGAAGCGGGGAGTGCGGGGAACTGGGAGGAGGGACGGTGGTCCCCGGCGCTGCGCGGCGCGCCACGTCCGGGCTGGTGGAGCTGCGCCCCCTGGCGCGGGGGCGGAGAGGCGGGCGAGAGGCCCTGGCTCTTACCTCCCGGGGTCCCGCGGGTGACGGCGGCAGCGGCCATTCTAGCCCACACCGACCCCCCCCAGCGCCGGCTGACAGCGGCGTCCGACGTCACTGCGCACGGGGCGGGGCCTCCCAATTAAGGGGATGAGGGTCTGAACGAGAACCTGGGGTCAGCGCACTTGGGGCTCTGGGTGGGGCGCTGGGCCAGGCGGCGGGACGGACTACAGGGAAGTCCCAGAAGGGGCAGCAGTGCTGCGGGACAGGATTCCGGGGTCCCCGAGGCGGAAGCTCGGCCGACTGACGTGACCTCCGGGCCGGGAGAGTGGGGCTCTGGCGGCCATCCAGTGCTGGCGAGGAACGGGGGACTGGGGGCAGGACTCCTTGAATTTTGAGGACCCATCCCAACGTCATTGTAGCTGGGTCCTCGAGAAGGTGAAAGTAGCCCTCTTTCCCCATGAGCCTCTCCATCACTGCCTCCCGCAAAGAAAAACAACTCGGCGCTCAACTTGCTTGCTTTTTAATAACATAACCGAGAGAAGAACACAGTGCCAGGGAGCCGGGCGGGGGTACAACAGGCCTTGGGGAGTTCCAGTTAGAGGGGTGGGTTGAGATTGGAGCCAAGGGGGCTGTTAGTGCCTAGTTCAGAGGACGAGAGAGGAAGCTGGGAGAGGCTAAGGAAAGGGAAATGCCTGGATGCCAGAAACGGGGAGATTCCAGTGATGAGAACTAGTCTTGGGCCCCTGAGGCAGCGCTAGCATCTTGGGCATGGACCGTTTCTCCTTACTCCTCAGACTGCAACTCCATTCCCCAGAGGTTGTAAAGGGGGCTCCTACTGGCTGTGACAATGCTGTAGGAGGCCAGAGAGCTCAGCTGCCTGGAGAGACAAGACCCCTCCTGGCCCAGGGGACTCCAGGGGGACCAAAGCAGCTGTAAAGAAGAGAGAAATTCAAAAATGAATGAAAGAATGGAAAAATAGGTCTCTCCAGATTTCCTAGTCCCCAAACCCAGATAGCCCCAAGTCTCTCGCTCTCGCCTACTTTATTTTTGTTCCTCTCAAATCCAGCTCTCCAACCTGGCTCTTGGCTTCCTCTGTCTCTCTGTGCAAGACCAGGCATCCACATCACCTTCTACCACCCCACCAAGTTCTCTTCCAACCATACCTGGGCCCTGCCAGGAGTGAGAAAGTGGTCCTCCTCCCATGGATAGGCTGCTCTCTCTTCTTCCAGATCAGGGTATTTGGTGGTGCTGGTGAATCCACAGCCCTCTTCATCAGGCACCAGGGGCTCAGATGCAGCCTCAGAGCTGCCCCACTGGGCCTTCTTCAGTCTGTGGAGACTTTAGTCTTAGGAAAGAGGTGCCTGGAGGCCAGGCTTCCTGTCTTTCCATTCTTCACCTTTCTGCTCTGAAATACTTCCTGCTGGGACCCCGGGGTGTTGTCATTTGACCTCCAACTCTCCACTCCCAACTTGCTGCTCCCCTCAGACTGAAGTATTTCCAGTCCAGGGACTCAGAGGTGACCTCTAGCTCCCCATTCTCCTCCAGTTCTATGGCATGCTTTCCTGTCTTCAATGATCCAGTTTCCACTCCTTCCAGTTCATATGGCTTGTCCTCCGTCCCTCAGTTCCCTCCCCCTTTCCATATTATGGAAATTCTGCTTCAAGTGCATCAAGTCCATGGCTCATTCCCAAACAACCTCCAATTCCTTCAAAGCTCTCAACTCCTTCCTTAGTTCAAACCATCCTGCCCCCAAACCCTGCTTGGTTTCCAGAGCCCAGATGTTTCTCCTTACTCATTGATGATTCTCTGTCTCCTCCTTAGATCCTCCAGGTGATAAGTGACAGCCCTTACCCGGGCTGGGATGCCCCCAGGTCCCCGCTGTGTTCCCACCAAATGAGGCCTCCTTCTCTTTCTTCTGCAAAGTATCTCAGGGGGTGGGAGCCCCTCAGGGGGGTACAGGCCAGGCTGGGAGCAACCTGTGGCTCTCTGTGCCAGAGAATGGGGAAAAGGAGCTAGAGGGCAGAACTGGGTCTTTCAGGGAAGCTTGGACTGAAATACGGAGTCAGGGGTCTTGGGAAGCCCAGATCACAAAAACATAGCCATGATCTGGAAAATATGATAAGTGATTCATAGAAAGGAGGGCCTAGTCAGTGCACTAGTTGGGGAACACCAGAGGGAAGGGGTAATAAGGAGATGAGGACAGATTGGCAGTAGGTGCAATTTTAACCAAGAAGTGTTGAAAGGCAGAAAGTCTGTCATACCAGCAGGGGTGGGATGTACTGTTCCTCCATCCAGGTGGGGCTGTGAAGCACAAAAAGTGGGCTAAGTGCAGACGGGACACCCTCATCCATATTGTTTCTCTAACAACCTCTCCCAACCACCTATCTGTCTGGCACTAGGAATTACAACATCCATCAGCCAGTGGGGCAATTCCCCAGACTAGGGCTAATTGCTAGGTCTCATGGTATTTTAAAATTGTGCAGCCTTACCTTCCCACCTCCAGTTAGTCCCCATTTTCTCCTTTTCTACCCACCTGGGCCTTTGACTAAGGTTTTCCCAAAAGATATCTCCATAACACTGGGGTGTCAGTCTGAGGTTCTGGGAAGGCAAGCTGGTGGGTGGAGATCGGCTGACTACCCTGGAACACCTGAGGTGAGGACAAGGTAGGCTCAGGTCTGGCTCTTCCCTTATAGCATCTACTCGCCCCAGGGATTCAGGGGTCCTGTCTTTCCAAGGGACCATATAGCTGCCCAGGCTCCCGCAGGCCGTGTCCTCCCTTCTCCATTTTAGCTGAGGAAGGTGGTGAGGCCTCTGATTTGAAAGGAGATTGGAGCTGTGGTAAGGGTGGAGACTGGCAATTCTTTGAGCTCAGATATCAATGAATCTCAAGCTTCTATACCCCATAACCAAAGAACATCATATTTAGCAAGCAGGGCTGTTAAAGAGGAAGGCCCCAACTACTCAGGTGATGTGACAGACATGGTTCCTTTCAGTCGACAAGAATCCAGGAGAGGGCCAGCCCGGTGGTGTAGTGGTTAAGTTGGTGCGCTCCGCTTCAGTGGCCCAGGGTTCGCAGGTTTGGATCCCAGGTGCAGACCTACCCACCACTTATCAAGCCATGCTGTGGCAGGCATCCCACATATAAAAAAGTGGAGGGGGATGGGCACTGATGTTAGCCCAGGGCCAATCATCTTCAGCAAAAAGAGGAGAATTGGCAACAGATGTTAGCTCAGGGCTAGTCTTCCTCAAAAAAAAAAAAAAAAAAAAAGAATCCAGGAGAGCAGAATCTCTGTTCATCCCTGCTTTGTCTCCCCTATCTCAGAAGGACTAATATTGCTGTAGGTAGGGAGGAGTGTGCAGAGCTGTTTGAAAACAGTGCTCATCACTTCCAAAGCCCCCAGATTGAATGATGACTGCCCTCCTGATCTCTAGGAGAGTGTCTCAGGGCTTAGGCCTGGGCCCTTTATCTTCTCCATCTCCATGTCTCCTTAGGTGATCTCACCCAGGCCCATGACTTTAAATGCCACCAATGTGCTGATGACTCCCAAATCTATATTTCCAGCCCTGGCTCCTCCCCTGGACTCAAGACTTGCAGGTTCAACTGCCCACTCAATATCTCCTCCCTAGCCTTCCCTACCTCACTGAAAGTCACCCAAAATCCCAGTTGCTACAGCCAAACATCTGGTATGCCTCACTTTCCCTCACCTCCCATATCCAGTCTATCAGCAAGTCCTGTCAGTTCTACATGTAAAATATACCCAAATTTAACCACTCTTCACCATTTCCATTCCCACCACCATATCTCAGCTCATCTTCCCCTGCCTGGACTATTGCAATGGCTTCCTCCTCCTCTCTCTGCTTCTATCCTAATCCTCCAACAATCTATTCAGCACAGAGCAGTGTGAGTAATCTTTTAAAAATGATCACGTGAAATGGTTTGAGATTTACTTCAAAATAGTCTGAGTAGTAGGGGGCTCAATGGAGGTATAGATGAAAAGATTATCCATATAATGATAATTATTGAAGCTAACTGAGGAGGGTACACAGGGTTCATGACTACTATTTTCTCTACTTCTGTATTTGTTTGAAATTTTCCATAATAAAAAAGTTGAAGAAAAAAAAGTCTGCTTATGTTATTCCCTTGCTTAAAAACTTCCACTGATTTCTACTGTCCTTAGCAAAAAATCCAAACTCTTTTCAATGGCCTGTAAGGTCCTATATGATCTGGTTTCTACCTAACTCTCTGAGTTTACTTTCCACTTTTTCTTTGGTCACTAAGTTTCGGTTACACTGGCCTGCTTCCTAGTCCTAGAAGATACCAAGCTTGTTTCTTCCTTGGGACTTTTTTACATACTATTCCTTCTTCTCTCCTCTGGTTCTCAATCAGACTGGCTCCTCATTTTTCAGATCTCAATTCAAACTCACCTCCCCAGAATAGTTTTCCACAATCATCATATCTAAACTTATGTCTCCAAGACATTCTATTTTCCATTATATTATACTCCTGTTTTATTTTTTTCATGGCACTTATCACTGGTTGAAATTATATGTGTTTAGACATTCTGTTTCCTCCTTTTAGAATGTAAGCTCTATGAGCAGGACCCCTATCACTCTAATTGCTGAATCTCCGGCGTCTAACACAGTGCCTAGAACACTGTAGTGTTCAAAAACTATTTGTTGAATAAATTAATGAATCATTGATCCCCTGAGACCAGGCTTCGAGCTTCCTGTTCCTTATTTCCTATTCCTCTTAGGGAAGGACCCAGGCATGCAATCTTCCCTTCATCCCATCTCCATCCTCCCCATGGGGTGGGAGGACTCACTTGGCAAAAGGGATGAGGTTGTCTCCATCTTCTTGTACCTGAATGACTGGGCTGGGCTGGGTGGCTGGACTGAGTCTCCTCATTGGTGCTGGCAGGATAACGGAAAATGAATCATTCACTCATGTAATAGCTGTAGGGATGAGACAAGCAGCAGATCTAGAGACTGGAAAAAGGACGTATGGGTCCTGAAAAAGGAAAGAGAGCTTTAAAGGTATTCCTAGTGATGGACATTTCTATTAGCTGAACATACAGGTTGAAGACGGTGAGCACAGGAAACTTGGGTGTGGTAAAAAATAAAGGAAAAAATAAATTTTCTGAAGCCAAATGTATAGAGTAAGTGAAATTTACAGATGACAGTTAAGTGGCTTAACTGGCAACATGGGAAGATGAAAGGGAAAAGGATGACAGGCGGAGACTAGATGGGGCAGAGGCATTTGGGGGTAGTTAGTATAGAATTGGCAGTTGGGGGCAGTTAGAGAAGTGGCAGAATTGAGGGTTAGTAAATAAATCGGGTCTGAGCGGTTAGTGAAAGTTAAGTGTGGACCGAGTGGTCAATTGGTGACAGGGACGGAGGGGGCAGTTGGGAATGTCTGTAGGCAAAGACGGTGAGCAAGAGGTCAGTTGCCCAGAGCCAGAATTAGAGACAGCCAAAGACGACCTGAGAGCCAGTTGGGGTGGGCAGAAAAGGCAGAAAAGAATGCCAGATAAGTTAGGCGAGTGCTGTAGGCGGCATAAAGAACAGAAAAGGCCAGTTGGAAACTGTTAGAGGAGAACAAGTATTTATCCAAGGGCAACTAAGGATGGGTTGAGAAGGCAGTTAGGTGAGGTAAAAAACAGACAGATGAGTATTCAGGGCTGAGATGGCAGATGGGATAGTTAGAGGTGGGCTGAAAGGGCAGATGGGGTCTAAACACAACATCCTGGGCCAGAGAGGATAAGCTGAAATCAGGGGGCGGCTGGAAGCTGAGGGGCATTCAGACCTCAGGTAGTTGGGTCTAAATGGGCAACTTAGACCTAAGAGGCAGGATGGGGCTTAAGGAAGCTGACAGAGTACTCAGCAGTTGACGTAGCAGGTACCCAAGGTCCGGGAAGGCAACCCGAAGCTTGACAGGGTAGATGAGGAGCTGAGGGGTCAGGTTGGGCTGAGGAGCTGGGGGCGGCGGCAGCCCTGCCTGGAGGGAAAGGCCAGGCCTGAGGGTGTGGCTTGGGCCTGAGCGGGCTGAGGGAACCCTTGGCAGGTGGACTGGGGCGAGGCCAGGCCTTCGGGAGCAGCCAAGCGTGAGGGCGTAACTGGGTCCCGAGGAGTCGCTGTGGCTCCCATATGGTGGGCCCATGCCTGCGGGGACAGTCTGGGCATGAGGGGGCCAGGCTGGGTCGGGAGGGACTGCCTGGGCCCGAGGTGGCACCCAGGCCTGAGGGTGTGGTTTGGGCCTGAGGCGGCGGCTTAGGCACGACGAGACTGCCGAGCTTGAGGGCCAGGCAGGGACGGAGCGCCCGGTAGCTGTGCCGCTGCTGACGGCACTTGGCCACAACACCTGAGGCAGCTGCTTGGCGAATTCTAGAACGATACGTCGGGCGGGGATGAGGAGAGAGGCGGCGACTGGGGCTGAGGGAGGAGCCGGCCGGGGCCGCGCGCCTGGGGGCGGGGCCTGGCCTGAGCTACCTCCTGGGCGGGGCCCGACGGAGGCTCCGCCCCCTGGGCGCGCCGCCGACGGCGGCGACGTCCGCGGGTCCGGCGCCTGGGTCCCCTCCAGGGTCCGCCCCCAGCTTTCTCGGTTCTTCAGGCGCCCGTAATCCTCCCCGTCCCGGCGTCCTGCTCGCTTTTCTGCGTCCGTAACTCGGTTCTCTCGTCCCCGCCCGGTGGGTCCCACAGTACCGAGGGCATTGCCCCTTTAACCGGAGTAGTCCGGGTCGCTCCCGGGCCCTTCCCGGGACGGCGCGCGCGC